TATATATATATATATATATATATATATATATATATATATATATATATATAGGTATACATATTATATGTATATGTATATACAGATACAGATCAGATATGTCTGTATATGTTTATATTGTCGTATACAATAGTCTATGTGTGTCCAGTGTATTTGGTATTGAGTTACAATCCCATGCGGGTTCCTGAGCAGCACAAGTCGACTGGGGTAGTTGTACATTGCTGCTCATATATAAATAGCACTTCCACAACCAGTCCATTTACACCGTCTATTGTATCTTGAAAACAACAGCGCAGATCCTTTCTTATCGATATACGTATCACCATTTATAACCGCCATACTTTATGGTTACGGTCGCAGGATTACAACTCTGAAGCAGGGCCACCGAATAGAGGTCCCTTATTGCAGGGCAGGCGATTGTTTGGTGCAACATTTGGGACAAAAGCAGCGACCATTCGAGACAAGAAGGCAGCATCATCTGACAGAGCCAGGAGGACGGACGCTTTAAAACAGCTAGACAACGACTAGACAATGATAAAATTAGTATTAAAAAAATATGTGGCTATGGCCAGGGTATGGCATACTCTGAATGCACGACAGTCCACATAAAAGATATAGGGGTCTACTATATCAGCACCATTCGAGACAATAGGACAGCATCATCTGACAGAGCCATGAGAAAGCGCCCGTTAGAACGGGTGTAAAACGGCTAGACAAAGATAATATTAGTATAGAAGTAAATATGTGGTTATGGCTAGGGCATGGCATACTCTGATTACACGACAGTCCACACACAAAATATAGGGGTGTACTGTAGCAACATTATTCAAGAGAGCAGGACAGCATCAGCGAACTGAGGTATAAGAACACGCAACGGCTGGACGAAGACTAGACAAACGTACTAGTAGATATATAGTTCAGTAAAAATAAAGTAGGATAGATGAACAGTTTGGTAGATTTTAGTAAATAGTACGTAAATAATCCAGTAGACATATGGTTTAGTAAATATTTACTTTCTTAGACATAGTAGGATAGATATATAGTTTAATATATATATAGCCACGTAGATATATAGTTTAGCAGCCGTATAAACGAGTGGATATTTTGAAGTATGCGTGTTATAAAATTGGCGTCAGTGAATATTAAAAGTCTGAAATCGAATGTACATCGGCCCGCGCATTTGAAACTATGAGTGAACACTTACAAACGTATCCCGTATCGAAGGTTATGAGAAAATTTGTGAACTCTGGCTTGATAACTCCGGATAATGAGATAAAGTTCCCCAAAGAGAACGAATCCGCAGGTGACTGTGCATTTGAATCCATTTTTAAGCCGGTGCATTGGAAATATAATGCTACTCAACTATATATTCACTAAATATTTGATCTGCAGAGCGAGTATATTGTAGGATAGATACATAGCTCTGCAGGTCAAATATTTAGCCTTTTACGGCAACCTGATCGTCCCACGACAATGGGCCAAGAGGTCAATCTTGATTACCTCTCGGTCCAAGTGGACGCTGATAATTATCTGTCTTTTATTCTTGTACAGGACGGCTGCACATTGAGAGCCATCCACCAGTTTGAAATCACGGCAACGGCGCTGATTGGCTTCTGCAAAGCGCAACTCTTACCTCGAAGCCATGTCCAGACATAGGTAGTGGACAAGGCCAGTGTGTTTATCTGTGGTGAATTTACGCAATATGTTACACGCCATAATGCACGCATACACCCGGTATCGACGGGTGAGCACGGTGGCAATGGAAGGATCGAGGTTCTGGCTCGTACAGTCAATTACTGGCTTAAACGCTCCTTAGGAGTTGGCCTCCACCACCAGTGGAGAGCCATGGTGCCTGAATTTGTAGCCAACTATAACGCGGCGTATTCTAGTGTCATCGATAACACCCCTTACACCCTGGAAACAAGTCGCGTTTATCCCCACCACACAGACAGCCATGTCGAAGCTGTTCTCGATGAAGCGCTGGGCTGTACGGAGCCGACAGTTTCGCTCACACAGATGCCTCTCCTACGCGATGAACAAGCCGCAGTTGCAGTCGAGAAGGCCCGAGCTTCCCAGAAACTGTCGGCGGACCGATACCGCATCAATCCCCCAATGATTAAGATTGGCCGAGAGGTGCTGTATACGCCGATAGCTCCCCCCGGGGCACAAATTCGCCAAGGATTGGCTGGGACCCGCTACAGTGCTGGCGCATGTGGCACCCGTGATGCATTTTTTCTATGATGCAGTTCTCAATAAGGAGTACCGAATGCATCTCAAGAATATCATGGCGTGTATCCCTCCGATTGGACGCAAGGATCGCAGACCGATGGGCACGATTGCGGCCACTCCGTTCGGCCAGTGGTTCTGCTATTCTTCTCAGTTCGCGGATGAAGACGACGACCATACACGTTCTGTGGTCAAGGCCTTCCGCACGAGTGTGCCTGCACAACGCTATTTTGGTGCTTGCAATGGGGCGTTCCGACACTGGAACGTCGTCTTAAATGCAACGGGTCGATCTCGGGGTGACGATTTCACTCTTGATGATGAGACTCACTTTCTTTTTCATGCTCCTAATATTCCTATTCCTATTCCTAATGCTAAAACAGGTCTCACTGACCTTAAGAAGGCGTATCTCTTTGCTAACAATCGCGCTGAGCGAGGTAGCCAACTGGCGAAATAGAATGCACAAGGCCAGGCTGTAACCTTGACGTAGGCTCTTCCCCAGCTGGCCACTACTGCTCTGCGAGTCGCCAAATCCGGCCGTTTTTGATGACCGCCGAGATTTACCGACTGGGGGGGCGGTGGTAGCAGTAGTATAGAACACCTAGACCTGAAAAAGAGGACTTATTCTGCCCTGCCCTACTCTGAAGACCAAAAACGATATTATATATTAGGACGATCCACGACATGCGGACTGTGAGCCCAGGAACTAGCCTAGGCCATTATAGTAGACGACTAGATCCGGCGATCAGTCCTATGTACACTAGTCCAGTAGATGTGACAGGACATCTAGCTTAGTTAAACCCTAGTAAATAAGTGTACAGTCTACTAATATGTGTACAGTCTACTAATAAGTGTACAGTCTACTAATAAGTGTACAGTCTACTAATAAGTGTACAGTCTACTAA